CTCTTCCGTGGTTACAATATATATATATATATATATATATATATATATATATATATATATATATATATATATATATATATATATATATATATATATATATATATATATATATATATATATATTAATACTGGCACATTGGTAATCCTTTATACAGGGAATAAATGTTGAGGTCAGGGAAGAAAGTTCTCAATAGAGGTGATACAAAATACTTTCTTCCCATTTGTAACTGACCCCCCCCCAGCACTGGTCCCGGACCCCCCCCGCACTGGGCCCGGACCCCCCGCACTGGTCCCGGACCACGGGGAGTGAACCAGAGATCCTGGACCACAATCAACCTAATTCAAATAGGGTTAGTTCTCTGAGATTATTTACAAGTGTAAATTCTTCTTCTTCTCCTTCTCCCATCTCTTCCTCCTCTTCCTCCATCATTTTCTCCTGTTATCGTGTCATTCCTAACTAGTTATCACAGGGATAGCAGAACTTCCCTGACCACAAGTGACCTACACAGCCCACGCTGACGGTGACCTCCAGAGAGGGTCAGAAGGTCACTCACACACACTACCCACGGCTGACACTCAGGTACCTATTTAACGCTAGGTGAACACGACCAGCAGATGTCAGGTTACTACCTATTTACCTTCAGGTGAACGCGAGCAGCAGGTATAAGATAATTAAAATTCAGGTACCTATTTACTGCTAGGTGCGGATAATGCTCCTTCCACTGAGCTCCGTTGTAGGAGCATTATCCCACTGTGGGAACACCAGCAGTGTGTTACTACCACTTTCTGTATGATAGTTACACTGTGGGAACACCAGCAGTGTGTTACTACCACTCTCTGTATGATAGTTACACTGTGGGAACACCAGCAGTGTGTTACTACCACTCTCTGTATGATAGTTACACTGTGGGAACACCAGCAGTGTGTTACTACCACTCTCTGTATGATAGTTACACTGTGGGAACACCAGCAGTGTGTTACTACCACTCTCTGTATGATAGTTACACTGGGAACACCAGCAGTGTGTTACTACCACTCTCTGTATGATAATTACACTGTGGAAACACCAGCAGTGTGTTGCTACCACTCTCTGTATGATAATTACACTGTGGGAACACCAGCAGTGTGTTGCTACCACTCTCTGTATGATAATTACACTGTGGGAACACCAGCAGTGTGTTGCTACCACTCTCTGTGTGATAATTACACTGTGGGAACACCAGCAGTGTGTTGCTACCACTCTCTGTATGATAGTTACACTGTGGGAACACCAGCAGTGTGTTGCTACCACTCTCTGTATGATAGTTACACTGTGGGAACACCAGCAGTGTGTTACTACCACTCTCTGTATGATAGTTACACTGGGAACACCAGCAGTGTGTTACTACCACTCTCTGTATGATAGTTACACTGTGGGAACACCAGCAGTGTGTTGCTACCACTCTCTGTATGATAGTTACACTGTGGGAACACCAGCAGTGTGTTGCTACCACTCTCTGTATGATAATTACACTGTGGGAACACCAGCAGTGTGTTACTACCACTCTCTGTATGATAATTACACTGTGGAAACACCAGCAGTGTGTTACTACCACTCTCTGTATGATAATTACACTGTGGAAACACCAGCAGTGTGTTACTACCACTCTCTGTATGATAATTACACTGTGGAAACACCAGCAGTGTGTTGCTACCACTCTCTGTATGATAATTACACTGTGGGAACAAAAGTCAGGTGTCTCCCTGCTGTCCTCCATGAGGGAGGCAGAAGCTGGAGGTGTGGGAGTATTATAGAGGGTGGAGGAGACGGGCGTGCCTGGTATAGGGCAGTAACTCCACCCAGTGTTGCTGAAGTGTTGCATCACGCCCACACTGTCTCCTTAGTGTTGCACCACGCCCACACCAAGAATAATAAAAGCAGCAGCAGCAGCAGCAGCAGCAACAACAACAAGCTAGTTGTACTGAAACATTTAAGTTATACTTCCGGAGGGACTTTTACAATGATCTGTGTCCTTACAGTGTGTGTGTTATGTGTGAGTGAGTACGCAGCACCAGTGTCGAGCCCGCACCTGAAAAATCATGCTCAGAAACTGGATAAAGTGAAATAATAAGCAAGAAGGTTTGCTCCTCTGCCAAGGAACATGAGCCGCGAGGAGAGACTAACGACACTGGAGGACAGAAGAACCAGGGGAGACATGATAACGGTATATAAAATACAAAGGGAAATTGACAGAGTAGACAGCAACAGGCTGTTTGAGAAGCCATAAACGGGAACTCGAGGATATAGTTGGAAGTTAGAGTCACAGATGAGTCAGAGGGATGTCAGGAAGTATTTCTTCAGCCTCAGAGTTGTCTGGAAGTGGAATGATCTTGGTGAGGAAGTGGTGGAGTCAGGTTCCACGCGTAGTTTTAAGAATAGGTACAATAGGGCCCACGAGGCTAAGAGGGAGTTAATATGCAGTGTCAAGAGGAAGGGCCAGGAGCTGTCAAGCAACTCCTGC